GCTGTGGGGAGCCTGGGTCCCTCCACCTGCCCTGGGCAGGGGCCTGAGCAGCCCATGGCCTGTGTCCCTGACTCCCAGGCCTTCCACCCAGGGCAGGTGGAGGGTCTGCGACTTCGCGCAGGCTCCCCCCAGCAGCCCATGCGGCTCTCCCCGACCAGGCTCTGGCTGGGGGGTGCTTTGGAGCCTCAGCCCAGCCACGGTAAGTAGAGCCCTGCAACTCCGTGGATATCCACAGACAATTTTTGCGGATCTGATGCGGATACACATTTTTGTATCTGCGCAGGGCTCTATCTACCAGCTATGAACATGTTTGGAAGTTGTGGTGAGACCTCACCAATGATTAAAGGTTCAGCAGAGATGCTAACAAACCAGATCACTTCACTACCTTTTCTTTAACCACCATCGGGTCAGTCGGCAGCAACCATTCAGTAGCTGAGGCCCTGCTGCTGTTCCTGGAAAGCCTGCCAGAGCCTGTTATCTGCTACAGCCTTTACAACAACTGCTTGCATTGTGCCAACAATTACACATTGAGCAATCAGGTAATGCAGGCACTGATGCAGAGGGTTAACATAATGCCTTAGATGACCATGGAGTTTGAGTGTTCTGTGCCATGCAGATAACGGGCTCAAACCCCAACGAGCTTAGTCTCATGGCTCTAGAAGGTACCCAGCACTGGGGCTCCTGGTTTTTATTATGTATCATTAAGGCTTATGTAATTGTATTGATGCTTTGAGCTTCTAGCCATTCTCTTGGTGGTTTTTCACAGTAAAGTTCTTACTTTCTTTCCAGGTTGTCTCCATGCTGCCCATGTGCCATAAAAATGTGTTTAACTATCTGATGGCGTTTTTACGGGAACTACTGAAAAATTCAGGGAAAAACCACTTGGATGTGAATATTCTCGGTAAGGTGAACAAAGTGACCAGTCTGCTCGGTGGGGACTTGTAGTAGTTCATATAACAAGCCATGTGTTTCTCTGAAATGACTGCATTAGTGGGCCTTTGCTGTCTGCTATTTCTGGTGCCTGGTATGTAACCTAGCAGGAATTAGACTTCGGCCAGAAAAGCAGAAAATAAGGCATTGTCACACCAAAAAACACCCTCTATTGGCATGAAGAACATTAGAAAGTGCTGCCGAAAAAAGGAAAAATTGTGATGGCCAACTTTGCACTACCCGCTCCTCCTCCTCTCCCACCCATCCCCAAGTGGAATCCGAGTGCTCCCCAGTTTTCTTTTGGGAGGAATTATCATTGACATCTGGCTATTGACTGGCTTGTATTGTGTCTTTCATGCAGGTAGTATATTTGGTAGCTTGTTGCTGCGACCTCCTCCCCAACATCCTACGCCCGATGTAACCGAGAAGAGGAAGGCTCGGCAGTTCATCGAGCAGTTCCTCTTGAGAGACTGCAACTCCCCATGAATTCTAGATGCAGCTAATCTGTTTTTTAGATGAAGCTATTAAGTTACTGTAAAAATACTTTTGTACCGAGCGTAGCACCTTCAGAACGTTACAGTATTTTATTCAGAGTACAATCTATATTAAACACAGATCAGACATGTAGGACCAGTTATCAATGTATTAAGTTGTAAAGAATATTGAATTTCTAAATAAGTTTTATAAGACACAGAGCACTGACATTTTATACTGTATTTTAATTATTTAACTTGTATTAAAACCTCAATTTTAAAGTTCCTTTTATTTAAAATAACAGTAGTCATCTTAGTGCACTTTCCCAGCCTGCCTTTCAGCCTGTTTTCCTGTTGGCTGGTCGGGGTGTTTGGTCTGTTCATTTTAATTAAATCCCATCCCTTTAAAAGCATGAAGCAGAGTGAGAAATGAACCACAGAACAAGAATGCCCAGGTCTCTAGCTAACATTGCATAAACTGATCAGTAGACTGCAGGGAAGAGCCTTGCTTAGGGTTTGTTTAGCGCTCACGCAAACAGGTGAATGAGAAGAAATTGAACAATTCTATACCTAGATGAAGAGACTGTGAAAATACTATTATCCAGACCTAGGTAGATCAGCTCATTTGCTGAAGATGTTTGCTATTTGTTATGAGGCCAGTGACTGATAGCCAGCATAATGTGAGATGGTTCAGTGCTAACTAAGACTATTGGGTCAATGAAAATACTGAGATGAAATTACAGTACTGATGAATTGTTGTTTAGCTTTGCAAATTCCATTTTAAACATCGTATTCCACCATATTGTAGAGCAGCAACTTTTTCTATCTTTAATTATATTTTGATGCTATAATCCTGTTAACAATAGCTACAATGAGTGTTTGTTCCACTTCCTCCTCTCTGGATAGAGCTGCAGCCTGTGGTCTGTCACTTGGCTTCCCAGTTTTGGGGGTTAAAGCGCTCTGTCTTTCTTACTTCCCCTCCTAGATACCATTTCCTTTTCTCTCTTTTTAGTTTGAGGAATTCCTGGTCTTTTACACCTGTGTCTCCATCAATCTCCAACCGTTAGGAGGAAAAACCTTCCCCCTCACCTGTCTAGTTCCACTAAACCAGTGGTTCTCAACCCATGGGCTGCTTGCGGCCCAATCAGCACACAGCTGCAGCCCATGTGACATCCTCAGGGCCTTACAGGTAGTAAGGTGTGGATGTGGCCCACATAACACACAGAGAGCTGCATATGTAGCTCACAATGGTAAATAGGTTGAGAACCACTGCACTAAACCATAAGAGGCCAAATTCACCATTTATCAATTTCAGTGGCGCTGTACCAGTTTATGCCAGTGGTGAATTTGGCCTAATGATTTTAGTAAGATAGCATATGTGGCTGCACAAAATATTCATTTGCACAACATATCAATTGTATTTTATTAGTTTTTTTAATGTATTTTTTTAATATATCATATTCCCCAAAACCATTATCTTTAACCAGCAAATGGCAGGTTGCAACTTTCTAAGGAGCAATTATTGGTTTCAAAGTAATGACTAATTATATTAAAAAAAAGTCAAATCATTGTGGAAAAACTGCAGTGGTCGCTTCCTGGAGCAGTGTGGAGCCGGGGTAGCCTTAGTGGCAGCCACACCACTACCACTGGAGATCACGATCGACTGGGAGATCCTCTAGGATTGACCAGTTCGTGACTACTGCACTAGATCACAATGGTCCCTTCTGACAAGGTCTATGAGTCTGTGAGAAAGCAGTCTCAATAGATCTCTTTGATAGAATTCCCTGAAGATAAAATAAGAACCTGGTGAGCAAAGCCAAGAAGCACTAAGGTAACCTGAGAGGAAAGCTAGGTGGGGCAGTGGTCTGAGGCACCACGGAAGGTTGCCTAGGGATCATTGCTGGGACCCATCCAGGTAATAGCTATGGCTTGAAAGAAAGAACATAAAACATGAGGCAAATGTTTATGGCTGACACAAGTGACTGAAGGACGTGACTTTCCCAAGGATCCACAGAGGCTGTGGTAATAGGCAAAATAGCAGAGGGTAGGGAGTGCCAGGACAAAGCTCGTGCCATGCATCAGGAGTTAAAGCACAATCTCCAGATGCAGGCTGTTGTACGTTGCCCTGGCTTTGGGCAGCACCGAAGTTTCAAATAAGTAGATGTTAGTCATGATCAGCCATAAAAGGTCAGCACGCCAGTCTCTGCAAGTGCAATAAGACTTCATTAACACCCCTTTGCCTTCCTCTGGAAGAGCTCAAGCCATGTCATGAGCATGAAAAAACTGCCCTTCCCACCGCACCTTCGAAGGTGGGCATGTGTTACAGCCTATTTTTCTTCTTCCTTGGCAGGCAGTTATCCTCATCATCTTGCTACATGTAAAGGCAGCTGAATCACCACCTCCCTCCTGGTTAGGGGTGCCAGGTGTCCGGTTTTTGACTGGAACGCCTGGGCCAAAAGGGACCTGCTGGCGGCTCAAGGTTGGCGCTGCCGATCGGGCCGTTAAAAGTCTGCTCAGTGGCGCAAGGGGGGGTCTGGAGCTAATGCAGGCTCCCTGCCTGCCCTAGCTCCATGCGGCTCCCGGAAGCGGTTGCCAGGTCCCTGCAACCCCTAGATGCATGGGTGGCCAGGGAGGGTCTGCGTGCTGCCCCCCCGCCCCAAGGGTTGGTTCCGCATTTCCCATTGGCTGGGAACTGTGATCAGTGGGAGTTGTGGGGGCAGCGCCTGTGGGTGCACGGAGCCTCCCTGGCTGCCCATGCGTCTAGGGGATGCAGGAACCTGGCGGCCGCTTCCTCAGAGCCATGGGAAGCACCGCCAGGACCCCACACCCCGAACACTCTCCTGCACCCCAATCCCCTGCCCCAGGCTAGAGTCTCCTGCCACACCCAGAACCCCTCATTTCTGGCCACACCTGGAGCCTGCAACCCCAGCCCAGAGCCCATACCCCGCCCACCCCCCTGCCCCAGCCCGGAGGTCTCTCCTGCACCCCAAACCCCTCATTCCCGGCCCCAACCCAGAGCCCTCACCCCCCTCCCGCATCCCAACCCCCGCCCCAACCCGGTGAAAGTGAGTGAGGGTGGGGGAGAGCGAGTGACGGAGGGAGGGGGGATGGAGAAAGTGGGGGTGGGACCTCGGGGAAGAGGCGGGGCAGGGGTGGGGCCTCGGGGAAGAGGCGGGACAGGGGTGGGGCCTCGGGGAAGAGGCAGGACAGGGGTGTTCAGTTTTGTGTGATTAGAAAGTTGGTAACCTTACTCCTGGTGTTACTGTGATGCCTGAGGACGCTGGGCTGGATGGACCCTTGGCCTGGCCCCGTCTGCTCTATGGCCCGGCCTGGCCTGCCAGCGCTGCCTGGGCAGTGGGGTGGCTGCTGCCCAGCCCTCAGCCTGCTCCCAACCTGGGGCCACCCCACTGCACCCTGCTGGCCCCGCCCCCTTACATGAAGCCCCGCCCCCTCTCCTGGCCACGCCTCCTCGTTCATGACGCCTCAGCCTGAGGCCACACCCTCTCAGCCGTCGCTGAGCTCCCGCCCCTAGTCCTTCCCCTCGGGGGCGGGGGCCGGAAGGGGCGGGTCTCGGCGTGCTCCGCGAGGGCCGGAAGCGGAAATGATGCGTTGGGTAATCATGGTGCCGCTGGGAGGTTGCCGCTGCCGCTGTTACCGGGCGCTTGGTGAGAGCGGGGCGCGCCCAGCCGGGGGCGGCGTCCGGGGCGGGGGCGGCCCGGGGTCCTGCCGGGGCCCAGTGAGCGCGGCCGCGGCTGTGGCGCCGCTCCGGGCCTCTGGCTCCGGCCCGGCCCGCACTGTCAGCTCGCTCGGGGTCAGCCTGCCGCCCGGGGTGCCGCTCTGGGCCGCGCTGGGCGGCCCGGCCTGTGTCCCGGGGCTAAGGTGGGGGCGGGGACCCGGCCTCAGCCCGGGACAGCGGCGGGGGCGGGGTGAGTGTGCAGCGCCGAGCACGGGGGCCCGGCTCCAGCCCGAGCTTTGCTGCCATGTCAGGAGCAGCCCCGTCCCCACCTGGCTCAGCGCTCGAGGGCCGGTGATAGGTACACGCTGTTCCCTGCTTCACTCTGGCGCTTGGCTCCGGGGGGTGGTTTTTCAGGGCCTGTGGTTGGTGCCGTCTCATGTCCAGTAGTCATTTGTCTCCAGCCCGGCCCTGAGGTTCAAACATGTTAGCAAAGCTCATGCGGTTTCAGCGAGTGCAGCCCTAGGCAACAAGCAAGCGATGTCTGTGGAAGAGTAATGTGGTCTACTGCCCTGGGCATGTTTGCCCTCAGCTTGTTTTTATAAAATCTGGGAGACTTGTGCACAGAAACAATCCTGTTATAGTGTCATACTATAACCCATTCACCCTGGCACTTTATGTTGTAAAGAGCTGAAACTGTTTCTCTTGCCGTTGCACCTAGAGACCCCAGTCAGGAAATGAGGTCCTGCTGTGCTACGCACTGTTTAAACACACAATAAAAAGACAGTCTTGCCCCAAAGAGATTCTTGCTTGTTTGGCCTCTGTTTCAAGGCAGCTCTCTGGCAATATACAGTAATTTGCATGTGGCTTTTAGTAGACTTAGGTACTAGAGGCCCAATCTCTGTGGAGGGATGTTTCTTCTTACTCTAAAAGAGAACTATAGGCCCTTTCCAGGTCTCATACAATATATATATTAATAATTTAGAAGATTTGGAGCACTTTTGAAAGTATTTTCTTATATGAACTGAATAAAAACTTAACTGCACTATTTGTCTTGGTTTTCTGAAAGCAAGACAAGGTTTTTGGAAGTGAGTTAATGGGGACAGGAAATATAAACTTGTTGAAGTTCACACCTTTGAGAGATTTAGGTGAAGTCCTTATCTAAATATTGATATTCTTATTCTTGTACTAATCTTGTTACAGATGAGTTGTTACATTTTAATTTCATGATCCTGCACTGAATTCTATTAAACCATGGGGGAAAATAGTCCTGATGGCAGCATTCATTACTATGAAGTGGAGGAAGATGAACTGACCCAAGATGATAAAATGATGAGGTTTGTGGACAAAAATGGTCTGGTTCCTTCATCATCTGGGACAATTTATGACAGGACAACTGTTCTAATTGAACAAGACCATGGGACATTAGAAGATGATGAGGATGAAGGACAATGTGGAGATCACTTGCCTTTTTTACCAGAGGGTCATGAAGAAGGATTTCATTTAATAGCAGATCATGAAGGAATGTCCCAGGGTTATGTGCAACATATTATTTCTCCAGATCAGATTCATTTGACTATAAATCCTGGTTCAACTCCCATGCCAAGAAATATCGAAGGAGCTACTCTCACTTTGCAATCTGAATGCCCAGAAACCAAGCGTAAAGAAGTAAGTGACCAACTATAATCGTAGAACTTTGCCCATCTTGAGAGCTGTTCATCTGATGATCTCAAAGCACTTTGCAGATATTGTTGATTTTTTTTTTTCTTTTTCCCCAAGTGGTCCTGAGAAATTAGCTGCACACTAAAGGAAAATGTATGACTAACTCCACATAACTGTTTTGAAAATCTCAACCATTAGATTTAGCTTCACAGTAGCTCTGTGGTTGTGTAGGTAAGTACATGATAAGTTGCCCAGGATCACACAGTGAGTCAGAAGCCAGAGTCAAGAAGGTAATGTGTCAGTCCTGATTTACAGTCTCTCCTGTTCTCACTACATAGACCATATGCCTTATATAACTGCTACTGTCTGAAGAGAACCCCAGCATGTTTCATGACAGTGCAGTAACCACTAAATATAGTAATAAAAGGTGACTAGAAAATAAGGACCATGATAATAGTGCATGTGCTTTAGTGGTCTTTCTTTCTAAATAGCTTGATTAGTCTTTCACAACTCTTAAAAATATTGCCAAAATTAAGCCTTTAAAATGGATATAAGCTTTCTTAGCCTGGGTGTACCAAGTTTGGCTTAGGAAAACTTCTGCATCCCAATTAAGTGTCAAATTCCAGCCGATTGTGAGTTGAAATTTCTAAAATATTAAACCTTCATCACCCACACTGATTTGAAACAGAAGCTTGACATAACCTTAGTTATAGCATTATTACTGAGGTACTGTAATAAGTAGCAGCAACAAGTAAAGTTTTAGGAAGTCACAATTGTACTTGATTAAAACGTGACATTTTGAACCAGCTTACTCATGTGAAATGGGTGGTTCTAGCAATAGAACACATGATTTTCATAGTGAATTTTTGTTGTGTTGAAAGCAAAGCAGGTTCGGACAGACTTGGTAAAAAAAATTTCTCCAAAAATAATGAATTGTGTGTGGTGTCTTTAGTTGACTAGTATTAATATAATCTGTCAGCATTTCAGACTTCGGGCTAGTTCTGTAGTCCTTGCTCATGGTGAATAAGGACTTACGTGAGTATTTCCATTAAAGCCAATGGCACTACTTGTGTAACAGATACTCTCTGTGAGTAAGGGTTGCAGAATTGGGCCTTTAGTTAGAATGGAATCTGGGTTTGAAAGCCTGAATAATTTAGTTTAGCCGGGGACCTTGATTGGCGTTCACTTGGCAAAGTGAAAGTGGTTCAATAGCAGCAGCAGTTGCTTTCAGGTAAGAGATGGAATTTCTGGACCGGAAGGTCTCACCCAGCAAATCTGTTAGCCTAGGACTCAAATGGGATATTTCCTTTTCCAATTTTCAGTAGTGTTACTGGCTGCTGCACCTTGCCTTCTTCACCACTGCTTTATTGCTAAAATTTATTTTCGTGTCATGCTACAGTTTTCCTTTGTCTTTTATAGGACACTCAACTTGCCACTTCCAGTGTCTGAGAATAGTGTTGTGTGTTAGCTAACTCAGTGTGGATCCTTCTCCAAATGTGTAAAAAATGGGATTGTCCTCTATTACTTTGAGGTGTTTAAAAGGCTTGGAAGATTTTTTGTAATTCTTTTCTGCTTTGTTATACACTGTAAATTCAGGCAATGACTACTTCACTCTTTGTAGAGGAGTCAAGATGACTAGAGAACTAGTAGTAGGGGTACAGTAAAAGTGAATCCTGGGGAAATGTGGTCTTATGTCTGCTTAATTTAAACACTTGACAACTAGTTGGGAGGAAAGAACTTTAAAGACTAAACACCCTTGCACTATCTTTTAAGATCTGAAAAAGCTATCACACTAGTTTTCTGGCCCTTACGAAACAGGGAAGATGACTTGATGTTGCTTATATTTGAGATAGAAGCAGAATAGAAACCCTTTATGAACATTCACAAAGTAGTAAAAGGGCTTAGCCCCAATTTCTTTAGTTTGGAGGTCACCTTTAATTCTATTTTGTTACAACATCTCGTTCTACCTTTAGTACTACTTTCCCCATGAGAATAGCTAGTACTTACATCATCTTCCATCTTAGTTTCATAAGCTTCCTATTCACTGGTACTAGTTCACCCTGAACTCAGTTTAATCTTGTAATTTGTGCTCCCTGGGTTCTGAATTACTCAGCAGTCTGAACAGTTTAGCTAGTTGGACAATGTTCCATCCCATATGCCACCAAGTTTTCTTCACCAATAAAGATAAACTTAACTTCCTCTTAGCCCCATCTTATATGTATGTGTAAAATCTAGGCTCCTTCTGGTTACCCTCCAAGGTTCTGCTATCCTTTCTTTGCAAAGAGAATACACAACATAGGTATAGCCATTGCCTTCTACAGAACTGATATTGCTTTGAGTTTGTGTTCTGCCATCTGTGGCTGTGTCCTAGTGCCATGTTTCATTTGTGGTGATGGCATCAAGCCTTTTTCTGGTAAACTCCATCTTTTCCTGCTCTATACTCTGCATGACAGCTTCATTTTAGATGTTTGGTCCCCTCTGCACAGACCTTTTATCTACAGTAAGCAGACGCCCTCTGTACTAAAAGATGTGTATTGCTTTGAGTATAGTTCTATAGCTCCTTGTCTCACTACTTATATATGCAGCCATGGACCAAGCGATTGTTAATAGCTTCTGGTAGTGCCCACAATCTTGCGTAGCTCACAAGTATGTAAAACACTTTCATGTATTGCAGTAGTTAATGTAAAGATGATTCTCCTGCATGTGGAGGTTTTTGATGCAGCAGTTTGCACCCTAACTTCAGGACAAACTGCTTTACCAGGGATCCAATTTATTTTAGTGCTGATGTATATTAGTGGTAATGAGTGGTACTAAAGCTGGTAGTCCTGTTAGGAAAGATAATGTATCTTTTTCAGGCTAATAAACTTCACTTTCCTACCCTGTGTCTGTTTTTAATCCACCAGTCTACTTTACATGCCAGACCTTTCTGATGCTTTGTCTCAACCTATAACACTACAACTGTAAGATCAACTTTTTTAATTGCCGAGCAGATGTGTAACCTTTCTGCAATGCTCAGCAAAGATACCTTGCATCAGCTGTCTTGCTGTTACAAAATCATGCTGTATGGTGTGTTTTAACTAGGGTGACCAGATGTCCCAATTTTATAGGGACAGTCCTGATTTTTGGGTCTTTCTTATATAGGCTCCTATTACTCCCCACCCCGTCCCGATTTTTCACACTTGCCGTCTGGTCACCCTAGTTTTAACTAATACAAAATTGCTATTGCCTTCTCTGCACAATGATTCTCCTCTCCCATGGATGCTAGATTTTCCAGTTCTCTATCTTGTCATGGAGAAGCATTTTAAAAATGCTAAAACTTCGCAAATTTCTGTCCTCACTTTCCTGAAAGCTGGTGCATGACTGTTATCTAGGCCTGGGATACTTTTCATTTTAAACATGTCCAGTGTTTTCTTTACCTTTTTCTGTCTCTATGCTGTCCTGTACTAGACCAAGGAATAAGAAATAAACCCCCATATCTGGCTGATAGTGTTTCCCCTTTCCATCCAGTTAGCCCACTGACGTTCCTTTGCAGATGTTTGTACCCACTCATAAGAGGCCATCCAGTACATGTTTCTGCTTGTGGCCTTCTACAGAACTGAGTGAGTAATCCCTATAGGCTCCTGTGAGTAGACAGTATCCAGTTAAATAAGCAAAAGTAGTGTCTTAGAATGAATCTGTTCTAGAAAATCCTGTGCAGCAATTCTCAGATGGTCTGTGGGCATGGTGCTGGCTCCTCCTTGTTTTCAGCTGCATGAAGGACAGCTAAAATTCATAGAACTATAGAAATGTAGGGCTGGCAGAGACCTTGAGAGGTCATATTGTCCTTTCCTTGTGCTGAGGCAGCCCCGGGTGTACCTAGACATTCACTGACAGGTGTTTGTCTAAACTGTTCTTAAAAACCGCCAATGAGGGGGTATAGAATCGTGGACTATTTTACTGTTCCTTTTCCATGAGCAGTTGCTGCAGGCAAGGGCATGTCTTTGTAAAGCACGTTAGATTGGAGGTGGTGAGGGCTGGCAGAATGGTCTCCGCTGCTAGGGAGAAGTAGTTGAAAAAGGGAGAGGTTTAGTCTGTGGTGCTGAGAGTTGAAGGCTGTAGGTCTCCTCCAACCCCATAATGGCTGCTGTGTGACACCAAAGAGCTATCCGTTGCCCTCCTGTTGTAAATGCCAAGGCTGCTTTTCTTACTGTGGCAATGCATGCTTTTGATTCTTTCACTTCTGTCTATGCAATCTCTCTCTCTCCTTCCATGACCCACCCTCCCCTGCTGCTTTTTGTAGTTAAATATTTTCCATGCTATTCAGAATTCTTCAGTGTGTGGTGCTTTTCCTAACCACCCCTTTCCCTAGAGTCTAGAGTTACTGTGCTACCAGCACTTGGTAACTGCCCTTCCTCCTTTGATTTAATGCTTGTGATTCCTAAAAGGTTTGTATCCACAAAAATAACAAGGAGTCCGGTGGCACCTTAAAGACTAACAGATTTATTTGGGCATAAGCTTTCGTGGGTTAAAAAAAACAGAAGTGGGTTTTTTTTACCCACGAAAGCTTATGCCCAAATAAATCTGTTAGTCTTTAAGGTGCCACCGGACTCCTCGTTGTGTTTTCACACTTTGGTACCACTTGTACAGTTTAGCATGGCATTCAGGGCTCATGGACTTTGAAAAGCGGGTGTTCATAGAACCATAGAAATATAGGACTAGGAGAGACCTCGAAGTCATCAAATCCTGCCCCCTGCGTTGAGGCAGAACCAAGTAAATCTAGACCATCCCTGACTGGTGTTTGTCCAACTTATTCTTAAAAACTTCTAATGGTGAGGAGTCCACGACCTCTGTTGGAAGCTATTCCAGACCTTAGCTACCCTTATAGGGGGAGAACTTTTTTAAATATCTAACTTAAAACTCCCTTGCGGCAGATTGACCATTACTACTTGTCCTACCTTTAGTGGACATGAAGAACAATTGATCATTGTCCTCTTTATAACAGCCCTTAACAGATTTGAAGCCTGTTA